AATTAAATAAAATGACTAGAGAAAAATAAGAAAGAAGATGAAGCAGAATTAGTCACAGCTCGTGCTACGCACGATGTCCTTAAAACGTACTACGTATTTGTTGCCTCCCACGGTGCTTGGAGTGTTGCAACAATCGTTTCCCAGGATACGATGACTACGAACTAATGTTTCAGCACACAAACAAGAGTTCCAGCTAACGAGAACCAAGTATGAACACAGAAGGAATTTGAAGAGTAGCTGGAAGTGTTTTTAGCTCAAGAAAATGTGAGGAATGTATTGTGTGTTGTGTCTTGTTGCAAACCACCTGCCAGCCTTTTATAGGAGGATTTGTTGTGTGTTAAATGTAGTGTTAATGGACCTGAACGTTGGACATCAATGACCAGTCTGTTGGACATTGAATCGTCCATAAACTTTTCATTTAACGCAACATTAAACCCCAACAGAACACCCCTTCGAGGGGTTCTACCCGAAACCAACAGAACACCTCTTCGAGGGTTCTATCCGGCCAATAGAACACCCCTTCGAGGGGTTCTGTCCGAAGCCAACAGAACACCCCTTCGAGGGTTCTGTCCGGCCAACAGAACACTCCTTCGAGGGGTTCTGTCCGAAGCCAACAGAACACCCCTTCGAGGGGTTCTGCCCGACGCCACCAAAACACCATACCGAGATGTTCAGGTCGAGGCCTTCTGTCCGGAGCACTTCTGGGTAAAAATAAACGTTTCGGGAAGAAAACAAAATTAACCGTATCTCTTGAGAGATAGATTTTTGGATGACGGTCGTGTCCGCAAGTCGCCCGCGCACACGAGTCACGGTTTTTCTTCTCTGTTTCGGGATTTGATCGGCACCCCCCTGCGCGTAAGAGAGAGCCTTTACCTTTAGGAATCTTAACTCCTTAAAAGAGGTTTCCCTTTATAAGGGGGTGAAAATCCCTTGAGTTTTCCGGTGTGAGATAAAACACACTAGAAATCCATCATTTTCCCAGTTTTTCCATTTCAACGAGTAAACTTCGAGAATCAATTTCTCATTCACCCGTTATCCGTTTTGAGTGTACCACATATCGAATTGTAGCCCTTAACAAGGACAATCCGAAACCACTTTGACCCGACCCAAATAGGAAGTGGACCCCACTCAAACAATTGCCCCAAAATGACCATTTAATGCAATTTTTAACACATTTTTCCAACAAAAATATGTAACTCGCGTTCAGGGAGGTCAAATACAACTCGTGTGTATAAATATGAAACTCACGTGTATAAATATGTAACTTTACGTGTAAAAATATGTAAATCGTGTTCAGAGAGGTCAAATACAACTTGTGTGTATAAATATGTAACTCGCGTGTATAAATATGTAACTTTACGTGTAAAAATATGTAACTTTACGTGTAAAAATATGTAACTCGCGTGTATAAATATGTAACTTTACGTGTAAAAATTTGTAACTTTACGTGTAAAAATATGTAACTCGCGTTCAGGCAGGCCAAATGCAACTCGTGTGTATAAATATGTAACTTTATGTGTACAAATATGTAACTTTACGTATAAATATATGTAACTCACATGTATAAATACATAATACAACAACAACATTCAAGCCTTAGTCCCAAAAGATATTGGGGGGTATTTCGATTCATGTCATGTGATGTGACTAGGTGATACTGTTGGCCGTCACACGTCTACCACAACACTCTCCTCCTTTATCCTGGCTTGGGACATACATGATACCAAAAAAATGATATCATGGCGGAGTTTATAAATACATAATAAAATAAATTTTTTATATACACAATTTTAAGATAAATTGTGATTTACACAATTATTTTTATGTATTAAATTTTGTTTGATTTTCCTTATAATCCAATACTCATTAATATAATAGTTCAATAATTTCTTAAAATTACATAAGCAATATTGGTCTCATTTGAAAGATCATAAAAAATAAAAAATATTGATATAAATTTTATAAAAATCGGATCAAAAATAAAAATGTTATTAGCATTTTTTAAAAACAAAAGGAAAAAATAAAGAAATCCGTATACCGGTATCCGGTGCTCACCGTATACCGGTCATACGGTATAATCTGCCTTAGTTCAAGTACGCAATAGATCGAGTTAATTAGTGCCGGTTTTGGGTCATTTACATCATCTGATTCTAGGTCTAGTCAGAGGCGTCTTCAGCATTTCGGAGGTCCTAGACGGCTAGACAGAAAAAAGCTTATGGCGCAAAAAAACATATTGAAAAGAGATAAATTGAATAAAAAAATAGCATATAGAAAAAAAACGTATTCAAAGTGTAGTATATAATATTTTTAATATTCAAAAGGATAAGTTTTAAAGGCAATAGACCAACAGTACAAACATTTGCAAAATACATCACAAACTTGTACGTGTAACACCCTATCGGCCTATTCTTCTTGCCTTTTGAAGTGCAAAATCAGTAATAACATCACTACAATCAAGAGTAGCTAACACTTCTTTTTCAATCGATAAAATAGCTAAGCCACTTAATCTATCTTCTGACATGGTTGATCGTAGATAGTTTTTTATAAGTTTCAGCTTTGAAAAGCTTCTTTCTGCCGTAGCCACTGTCACCGGAATAGTCAACAAAATCCTGTAAGCAATCCAAGCATTTGGAAAAGAAATATGCATATCTTTTATGTACTCCAACAATTCAATCACTTTTGTTGTGCATTCCGGTAAAGATTTTCCAAGCAACTGTAGTTCTGAAAACAGCTCAACTGCATCAATATCACAATTGTCCTCATGTTTCAACAAATTACCAAGCGTGTCACAACTGCCGTCTAGTAAATAAGTTCATACGGATCATGTCCGGACACAACAAGTCGCATAACAAATTTTATTTATTCTAGTTTGAAATGTAGTGCATACTACTATATAATCCCAAAATGAAGTTGGGCAAAATATACGGTACACCCAAGTGTACCGTGTGAGTTGATACATCACTACATCCAGATAGTTTTGTAATTCTTTATTTTCTTTCGGTTGCTCCCTCCTCTACCCATTTGCTCTTTGATTTTTCTTTTTTCATTTCTTATATTTTACATTTTTTCTATTCTGCTTCACGTATCATTTGTTTGTAGCTCCTTATTGTTATTTCTTTCTCTTTTGTCTGCTACTTTTTTTCTTCTCTTCTTTTAATTTTGAAACTTTAATTTTTCTAATTTTAAAAATTAGTATTTTTCTTATTTTTCCCATTTGCTCCCTTCTCTTCTTATTTTTCTTGTTTCAGTTTTTATTTTCCTTTTTCTCTTTTCCTTTAATTTTGAACTTTAAATTTTCAAACTTTTTCTTTTTGTTTTTTCTGCTTTTGTTTTTTCTTTTTATATATGACTTTTGTCTCTGCTCCTCTAATTTTGAACTCCTATTTCTTTTTCATTCTAATGTAAATTTTCTACAAGATTTTTTTCAGACAATTCTTTCAAAAATTCATATCGAATGACAATTCAATAAAAATATATACCTCCCTCACTTTTCTATTAAAAGCTCCAACTTTCTAAATAATTATGAGTATATTATTTAAATTAAATGTGCATTTAATTTAAGGAATTGGTTGGTCTGAAACAAGAAATTGATGTTTCTTTATGTTATACTATTATGAGCATACACAAATTGATATTTGAGCATACTAGAAATTTTAAATTATTCTTTTAAATTTTCGATGCTCATTTCGTAAGTTATCTATACTTATTTGATACTGGTGTAATACTCATTTTAAAAGGAGCATTATATCATACATTTTATAATATCATATCCATGCATATTGGTGTAATGCTTATTTTAATTTTTTCGATACTCATTTCATAGGTTATTCATTCTCATTTAATATTTGAGCATACTAATGATTTTAAATGAGTTTTTTGAATTTTTCGATACTCATTTGTAAGTATGTATGCTCATTTTATATTGGTGTAGTACTCATTATATTTGTAAGTTATGTATGCTCATTTGGTGCCGATGTTATGCTCATTTTTAAAATGTCATATCAATGCATATTTCAAAAGTATCATATTACATTAGACTCACATATTGAAATTAATAAGAGTGAATTATAGATATAATTTAATAAGTTTTTATAAAAGAAAAAATAAGAAAAAGACAAAGAATTACTCCGTAGAAGATATGAAGTACAGATCGTGATACTCATTGTTAGCCTCCTAATACTCAATAAAATAGGTTAGATGCTCACTAAAAGTACACTATTGCTCATTTAGCAGAAGCCGTAATTTTTCGCTTAAATTACAAAAATGCCACCGAATTTTTTTGGCCTGTATGTACACCCGGATGTACCATATAGACACTCATGAAGTTGTGCACTCTTTATACCTGCACCACTCAATTTCAATATATCATTTTATATATCCAAGTTCTATCATATCCCAATACCAAAAAATATTGAATTTGACAATTTTGGGATTGACTTATGGTACAAATTTTGCAAGGATCCGTGAATCTACGAAATAACTATTATACACTCAAAAAATAACTTGATTGAAAAGATTTCGCACATATTGATCGACGATTCAGTGTCAAATAGGTCGAGACAAAACAAATTTGACATGGATTTAATATGTGTCAATCACGTTATTTGGTTGTAGTAATATATTTTTAATTGTAAAAGTCGCTTGGTTTCGAGATAATTGCCATCAAGGTATGAGAAAACTCTATGTCAATCTCTGATTGATCAGTGCCAAAACCACCCCTATTAGGTTATGTTCTTTGCGATCGAATTTTATTAGGTTATGTGATTCAAAAGTACTTTCTTGAGTTTATAAATATGCACGTCTATTTTCATGATTTGTATTGATTATGAAAACTTACTTTTCCCTCAATTATGCATCATAAATTGAATTTACAACTTCATTTAAGGATGGATAATGTAAAAATAACCATAAAATAGTTCATATAATAATACAATGATAGTGTGATACTTTATTTTAATATCATATGGGACTAATACTACTCACACTCATGATTGACACAGAAACGTTTCTGGGAACTGTATAGATACATCAGTACCGAATCCGCTTGAAGTCGTTGATTTCTTTGCAAAGTTTGGCGAGGCTAGGTATATTTTGACATAATGTTTAAAGTGTTTACGTATTATTTGTAACTATTATAAGTGTAAACATGTTTTGCACACACTTCACAAACTTTCACCCAATCATTTAATGGGTCCCTAATTTGGATTCATGAAACAAGTTGGGTGAAATTAAAATTCGATGCCACAAATGAGAAATATAAGCAAATTACACACACATGCTTAGGTTTGTGGAAAATCGCACTTTTAGTCTCTGAAATAGTCACCATATTGAAATGTCAGACCCGTATTTGTGAGATTGTAAATGTCACCCCTCAATTTTCCAAATTGTTGTAAATGTGGTCCTTTGAGGGGTGAAATGTACTCCTCACCCACATTGTACATTTCACCCCTCTAAGGACCACATTTACATCAATTTGAACAATTGAGGGGTGATATTTACAAACTGAGGAACATATGTCTGACATTTCAATATAGTGACTAATTCAGAGACTAAAAATGCAATTTTCCCTTCTATTAATTAATCTTCCTCTTCATTAGTTTTGCAAATGAATGTTTATATTTTTACTTTTCACCGATTGCAGTAATTCAATAAAAATTTACTTTGGTTTCTAATTAGATATACTTCTAATCTCTCTCTCAAAAAAAATAGATATTACATCTAATTTCAGACCACTAATTTCTCATATCCTAGAAATGAATGTTTATATTTATACTTTTCACTAATTGCAATTGAATATAAAATTACTTTGGTTTCTAACTACAAATAGTTCTAATTACTAATACCATGTACTAATTAGACAATGTAGTGAAGAAATGAACATTCTCATTAGCTAACATCGCAAACTGAAATAGAAGTTAATGAATAAGTATATGGAGGGAGCTCCAACCCGAAATCGAGTTCTTAATTATTCACGTACGTACAATATATAATTTTATATGTCAATTTTTTATCGTATCCAAACTTATAGACTTATGTAGTTCGATATAGCTTCTACCCTTTTGGCCAATTTTTTATCACCTAAATTTCAATTACTTGTGTGAAGGAGTTATCACTGAAAATAATGAACTTTATCATTAGTTAAACATCAAAAATAGAAATGAAAATGTAATTGATTCACGGACGTGAGTGGACGGGTCAACTAAAATTATATTACTCCCGGCAATTCTCACTTCTCTTTTGAACACCCCATTTAACGGTTTCTATTTTTATTTTAAAAACCAATTGCTAAGTGATGACATGTACTGTATGAGAACTTAATCATCACATGTTAAAAATACACTCATACATCATAGTTATCATTAATTACTCTATTATATTATGTATCCATCCAAACTACTTCTCAAAAAGTACAAATATTTTCTTATTTAATTATTATAAAAACTCTTTACATTTTTTATAGGAATCTTAAGTCGAGTAGAAGGTACTATATTTTTGTAAAGATTGCACTTCAGTGCGGTGACAATAACATTTTGTTTCAAGTTCTTGATCTCGCATATTATCAACAACTTGGATATATATATATATATATATATATATATATATATATATATATATATATATAGAGAGAGAGAGAGAGAGAGAGAGTAGTGTTCCGGTCAGGAATTCCTGACTCGAACCGCCGTCCGGACGACGGATTTTGGGGACCTTGCCGGTGGAGTTGTTTGATGAAATTTTTATGGCATGTTCTTCATCATGTCTAGTTTATCCACCAAAAAAATCAGCTAAAAACTCAATCGTGAAGGTCATCAAATGATTTTTACAAGATAACTGCGCCGGAAAATACATATAAAACGCAGTTAACTTGTAATCATTTGACGACCTTCCCGATTGAGTTTTTGGCTGAATTTTTTGTGGATAAACTAGACTTTATGAGGAACATGTCATAAAAATTTCATCAAAAAATTCCACCGGGAAGGCGACCAAACGCCGCCGTCCGGACGTTTTATTCCATCAAATAATTCGAAACGATGAAACTAATATCTCATACTAATGATAAATAATTATGTTTTCCATCCAACAAAAAAAACCATATTCTGACTTACACAAATATTTATGTAAGCCTTAGACATTCTTGTAGATATATCCTTATTTTGCGTCCGAATTAAGCAAAAGATAAGTAAAAAGTTAGTGTTGTTGTGATATTCCAATAATATATTTCTATTTATAGAAATAAAACACATTTGAAATGGGAAAAACTTCTTATCGTATTTAGTATACTACTACATAGTTTTCAAGTGAATAGAATGGTCCAATTGAAGTTGGCTTGACCACATTGGAATTCAACGCAGCTTATATGTATCTCATAGCTTGTTGAGAACTATTTTAGTGGCTGATTTTCTTATCTTGCATTTTTCAGTTTTGCAAATAATCCAAAAGCGGGATGTTAGCTTCATAAGTTACTGGATGGATGCATGTCTCTTCCGGGCTTAGTCTCGATCAAGGCTCGCTAGATGGCTTGTTTCACCGTGTTCAAGAAATATGAATAAAGTCGGAGAGCATATTTTTGGCCGGAAAGTTTCTTGTCAAATGTTTCTGGGATTGTGCTCATCCTATATGTTTATTTCGGAGTATTTTTTTTCAAGTTTGTGAAAACAGTTCTCTGGATGTGTGTTCAGAGTTCATCAATTTATGTTTGATAATAAGTCATTTGTGCGTACTTTTCTGAGCATATGTTGAGATAAGTGTTGAACAATCGTCCGGGAGTTTAAACAATTATGTTTCATGTGCGTTACTACTTCGACATTGTTTTGGATTGATGTTGTGATACGTGAGATATTCACAAGGATTGGATTTTTTAGTTCCTTTGAGCATGCCAAGAATAAGATCACTTTTTATTCGTTTGCTCAATGAAGAACATTCATTGACTAAACGGGAATTTGCGGCACATTTTGGTGTACCATTACTTGATGAGGAAAGAGCATATGATTCTCTTGTGGGATATGCGTTGTGGAAACGAATGACCGGGCATACCGAGGTCAATACTTCCAAATTGAGTGTGAATAACATTCAACATCCGTTCTTCCGAATTTTCTTGAAATTCTTGGTAAATTGCTTTTTTGGAAGACCAAATAACGATCACACTAGAATTTAGAATGTATGTGTACTTGCCCAAGCTGTTTTACCCGAGGCTGAGCAAGTTAATGTTACCTCCATCATGTGGACCCACTTTATCAACGTGGTAATTTCCGTGGGAACAATCGTGATGGAAGACCTAATCAACCACATAGCCACACTTTATGATTTTGTAGACTAACATCTTGTGACCCCAAAATCCCTACTTGACATTCAATGGCTTTGCAAAACTAGCAAGGATGTAGCTTTCTCCCACAAAAGATCCAATGAGGTAAACATTTACAATTGGCTCATCCGCCCACCCGCCGAAATCTACTTTCAAATCCCTCCAATGACCTCTCCCCGGATATCATAGATCACCAAATCGGTGATGGGGCAATTTGAGCCCACTATGCCCAAGACGAGCCGATTCAAGAACATGCTGCCTTAGAACCACCACCACACATACCCGATGAACCACAACTCAACCACAAGCCCCTTAATACACCCCATATTAAGTGGGTTAATTATGTACTTGATGGAGGGAAACTAATAGCTAATTTTAATTGTAGTGATGTTCTTAAGGAGTGTTTGGATTAATCAACTCTTCAATTGAGAAGTTATTTATTTATATATTATATGAAATGTGATGAACAGTAATAAAAGGTAAATTTATTTGAAAAATTAAATGATTTTGAATAATTAAAAGTTAGATTATTGATAAAAAACAAAGTAATAGAAAAGAGAAAATCGCGCTTCGAATCACTGAAATAGTACCCATATTGAAATGTAGTCCTTGTATTTTTGAGTTTGTAAATGTCATCACCCCGCAATTGTTTGAGTTGTTGAAAATGTAGTCCTTGCCGAACTAACGAAACGCTTTTGTCACGGTTAGGAGTATTACTTCAGGCATAGTATAAAAATTAAAATGTTTTGAAATTCATTGTATCAATAACTTTTATCAATAAAGTTACAACACGAATAAAAAATGTTGAACGAAAAAATCGTAGTTTCCTTTGAATATGCCATTAAAATGGCATTCTCGATTCATGTTGGCATTCTGATAAACATGTTGGCATTAGTGGCGGCTTCAGCGGCCGTATCTACAGTGGCAGCTTCAGCGGCCGGATTCGGAAGTGATGTGGCCGACGTTCTGTCGACGATAGTATGTGTTCCAAGCTTTAGGGGTGTTTCTGTACAACTACAAATAATAACTCGTACTTAGAGAATTTTTAAATTTTAGTCTTATTTTGATATTTAAGGATTTATTTAGTCTTATTTAGGTAAATCTCTCTATTAACAACAATAATACGGATTAAAGAGAGTTTTTTTTCGAATTAATGCTAATTAATTGATTAATTACGAAAATAATGTTGGGTTAAAAGTATTTACGGATCTACTGCTGGATTTAACCGTGGTCAGGGAAAGTCGCCCAACGGTTGGGCGACTTATAAGTCGTCAAACGGTTTGGCGACTTATAAGTCGCCCAACGGTTGGGCGACTTTCTCCTTCCATATGAAAACAGAATTTCATCAGTTTTTTTGCCTCATTTTAACCCAGACTCATCTTTTTGCTATAAATAAGGTCTCCCTTCTCCTGTTTAAGTGTTACGAGCGAGATGCAACACATTATAAAACATACAACACACATGTTCACAAACACATACATAAACACATACAACTCACCGGTAAAACACAGTACAATCATCAAACATTCATAACAATTAATCATCTAATATTCATACTCGAACACATAAATACAACATACAAGAGAAAATACGTAACATTTTGTAAATTGTTCCTACAACATCTAAAATGTTGTAAATTATCTAAAATGTTGTACAAAAAAAACTGTAATACAATAGACAAAGTAGAAGTTGTCATGGTCATCTTGATCACTCGACCTAGGATCCGCTGTCACCTGCATGCCTACAAACAAACAAAATCGTATTAGTTAATTTTTACTATTATACTAGTTCTTTTTTTTAATCATCAATTTTATTAATGTGAATTACTATAATTAACACCTTACCCACTGGACCCCTCATCGTGTCTTGATGATCTCTTCGCACATGTGGCCCTATTATGGCCGGTTTGGTGGCATTTTCCACATCTAACCGTTCCTCGGGGACCTTCATCCATCTCATTCTTAATACGTGTGGACTTAGGTCTTCCCTTAGCCCGAAGCATGGATGAATCGTGCACGATTTCAGGTTCATTGTAAGTAGGCCAATAATCACGATCAGGAATGGGTTTGAAGACTCTATGATATGTGGCCGCGTATTGGTCAAATGAGAAAAACTTATCCACAAATGGAGCATAAGACAAGCTACGTTGTCTGCACACGGCTAACACATGGGAGCATGGAATCTCATATATCTCCATCTTTTTACAAGTGCAAGTTTTCCATTTCAGAAAGAAGAAAGAGTGTTGAAGATGGAGGTTTGACGGAGTGGGGTCGCCGGATATGGAAGTTCGCCGGAGAGGGATTTGGGGGCTCGGTCGTCCTTCGTCCTTCGTCTTTCGCCGGAGAGGGATTTGGGGGTTGGGTTTCATTAGCAGTGTTCTGTTTTGTGGCTGGGCGCTGTTTTTACTTAATGGAAAGTCGCCCAACGGTTGGGCGACTTTCCCTGACCACAGTTAAATCCAGCAGTAGATCCGTAAATACTTTTAATCTAACATTATTTTCGTAATTAATTAATTAATTAGCATTAATTCGAAAAAAACTCGATTAAAGAATAAAATTTGTGTTACTTAGACTCTTCGAGCCCGTATGGTACACCCAAATTTCAACTTACCAGTTATATCAATCGACTTTTTAATAAAACATGGTACTTTTAATTTCGCGCACTAAATTGACTCGGGTCACTACAGATGATTATTTAATTACTTTTTCATTTGATTTTTTCTTATTTTTATAAATAAAGTATTTTGAATATAAATGGTGACAATAATTGGCATTGAACTTTGTTGTTTTATTTGGATATTTGGATATGTTTTCGTGAGACAATAATTTTGTATATAAATACCAATGCTGCAACATAACTTGTAATCTCGTGAGAGCAAATCATTTACTACGTACTTAAGGAGTGTTTGCATGAACTCAAAAAATGCTTAAAAAAGCTAAAAATGTGTTTGCAACTATCAACTTCTACTTAAAAAAGTACTCTCTCCGTCCCTTAAATCTTTTTCCACTTTCTCTTTTTAGTAAAGAATTTGTGGTTCCAGTTAATTCTCTCTCTTCTGCACAAACCTCAACCACACAGTTTTTACTTTATTAATACTCATGCCGGTCAAACTTGGCAAAATTTTAAGGGACTGAGGTAGTACTCCCTCCGTCCCGTTGGAATGTTGCCGCTTTCCTTTTTTAGATGTCCCGTTCAAAAGTTCTCATTTCCCTAAATGGAAAGTTATCCTACATCAAAACAGGGTCAAAGAGTGCAAAACAATGTCAAACAGTGTCGAAACAGTGTCAAACAATGTCGAAACAGTGTCAAAACAGTAAAATTTAACCCCTGGTAAGTTTATTTCCTTAATATGTGTGCAGGTCAAACCGGGAATATTCCAACGGGACGGAGGGAGTAATTAAAAGTCAAAAGCCGAAAGTTGGTATATACCAACTTCTAAGTGCTTCTAGGTATTTACGTAAATAACTCAAACTTGGATGGTTATAATAGAAAATTTATCCAGCTCACACCAAGATGCCTTTAATCCTCTGCATCCCTCCACCTTTTCGCCTGACCCTTTTTGCCATTCTTGAAAAAGCTGTGCCGTTTCAGTGTATATCTTTTCTAGAAGTGGTGAAGAACATAAACAAGAAGAAAAATGGATTTACCTTTGCAATTTCTTACATGTAATTTCCAGATTGCTTACATATAATTTTCGAATTTGGATCCTCTCCAGTGACGGGAGAGTTCCAGTGGGAGAGATAGAGTGAAAGGGATTTTAGGTGAGGTATGTAGATGAGTAAGATACAGAAAAAAGTAGAGAGAGATAAAGAAAAAAAAATGGATGGGAAATGGAGTAAGATGGGTGAGTAAGATACACCCATAATTTTCATAATCCCTTCGACATTTACTTTCGCGTATTGTTAAGTTGGGTGCCAATCGCAACAGAGATGGGCGGTGACATCAAGAGATTGACTTGTTTTGTCGTCCAAGGCTTTCTTCCTGAGATCCGAACTTCAATTTGAAAGAAGATTGAGGAAGGATCGGGTGTAATGGGTTTGTATATAGCTGGGTGGGTGTAGGGGTGGGCGCGGTCCGTAACGGTCCGGTAAATTGGTAAAACCCGTAATGTATCCGTGAGGTTTTTAACGGTCCGGTACGGTCCGGTTTCAAGAATAGAACCGTTCGGCACCATGTCGTATCGGAACGGTACAAAACAGTACGGTACAATGTCAAACACATGCTAAAATTTTTGAACAAATCTTGCAATTAGTAGATATCATCACACCAACCAACTCACATTACATGTTGAAATAAATATAGGAAATTGCATACCTAGTACTAAAATTGTATAGCAAATCTTGCAATTAGTGCAACATAACTAAGAAAAAGTATAGCAAAATGAGGACGCACAAGATATATATCATTTTTAATTTACTAAGTTCATGTGAAAATATAAAAACGAATAGCATCAAATTGTTTAATATAATAGAAATCTTCAAC